CAGGGAAAGGAGGAGGAGAGAATAGTGTTACAGCTACAATGTGGTTAGACTTCTGAAAATATCTCATTTTCTGAAATATTATTTATGTAGTGCCCAAAGTATGCTGTGTATCAGGTCTTAAATCTTCTGTATGAAATATCACTTCTTTCAATTACAAAAAATCCTCAAAAGATCTGCACACAATGTGCTTCAGAAGACTCCAGAAAAGAGCCATACACTGCATTCAACTTTATATTTTATGTTTTTCTTGCATTTCCCATGCAAAAGTTAGATGTTTTCTTATGTTCTTAAAAATTGGACAAAAATGTATTTAGCAAAATTATGAATGATTAGGGTTGTACTGCCTCTTGCAATCAAGTCTCTTTAGTAAAATTTACATATATTATCTTTGATTCAAAGTTTCACTGTCAAGGAATTATGTGCTAAATCATTTCCCATATCATGGCAAAGCAGCAAGGAAATACATGTGTTTGACTTCACAGATTTTCCAGGAAACTGACACTTTGTGTAGGACATTTTTTGAAGGGAGAGGGGAGCTTCCCTACACTCACACCAAATTCTGTGTGGATTCCAGAGAGCCAGTTTTATGGAGGAGTTACAGGACCAACTGAATGTACTACATTTTATAGCAATTTATTTGCTCTCTATTTTAAATGTGCCCTTCTAGATTACAGATAAGAGGCATAAAGCTATTAATCACATTTTAGAACGTGAGAAGCAAGGCCACTGTGTTCTTGTTTACAGTATTTGCTAATTTTTTTTTTTCAAAAAAAGTATTAACTTCCATAAATACAGCCTAATGCTAAGTAGCTCATATAAATAATCTAGTGCAGTTTTATTATCATCATCCATGACATACCTGCTCAAAGAGATCTTTTAAAGGTATTAATGTCCAAAACCAGAGAGACTGGAGAAGTTCCACACCCAGCTGTCCAGCCATTACCATTCACGACCTGTTTGATACTAAAAGACTTAAAGCAGGAGTTCTCAAACTGGGGGTCGGGACCCCTCAGGGGGTCACAAAGTTATTACATGGGGGGTTGCAAGCTGTCAGCCTCCACGCCAAACCCCGCTTTGCCTCCAGCATTTATAATGGTGTTAAATATATAAGAAAGTGGTTTTAATTTATAATAGGGGTCACACTCAGAGGCTTGCTATATGAAAGGGGTCACCAGTACAAAAGTTTGAGAACCACTGACTTAAAGAGACACAGTCAACTTGAAATCTAGTAAATTAAAAAAAAAAAAAAAATTAAAAGCAGTTTAAGGTTCTATAGCTGCTGACCCTCCCAGTCCTCCTGTGGTTTCAAAATTACATTTTCTTATTTTTAAAAATTGTGTATTTCCCCCTCCAGTAAAAGACTCATGTGAACAGGGGAAAGACTGAAGAAGACTATACACCAATTGCTACAAAATGCACAAAGTACACAGACTGAAAAATCTTTTTTTTTTAATTTTGGTTATTTTACAGTAAGCTGAGGTGTTATAACAATAGATAAATTTCAGTGTTATTTTTAAGATGACATCCCTATAATAACAGAAACAGAAATAAACTTTGTACACGGTATGTTTTACCAATACTATATTACAAACTTCTAAGAAAGCTGTCCAAGTCTTTCATTCAGCTATTACTACTATTGTTATTTGACATTTATATTATGATACTATCTAGAGACCTCAACTAGGTTGGTACTCCACTGTGATAGGCAGTGAAGGAAACATATTAAACAACAGTTCCTGCCTGAAAGAGCTTACAATTTAGTGAGCTTTGGAGAATCTCCCCTATAGCCCTATAAAATCAACTGGCATCTTCTTACCGACTTCAATGGGCTTTGGATCAGACCCCAATATCCAAGGTATCAACAGTGAAACTACTGTAATTTTACTCTTGTTTGTAAAACCAACTACTTTAAAATATGTAGCTTCTTATGATGAAAATATAACAAAAATACACAGGGCATAATCTTGAAAAAATTGGACGGAAGATTTTTTTTGAAAATTATTATTTATATTAGCAGCCAGTCTACAAACTGAGGTTATCTAGAAATGTAATCTATTGTAATGGTTTTCCAAACCTTTCACAGTAATGACAAAGCTATCATTTTCCTTCTGTCTTTTTACTATTTTGTTGGCAGTAATTAAGTAGAAATTAGTTTGTCTACTTCCAGAGTCTTGGTTCTTCTGTCTTGAAAGAATGTGTTTAAAAATATTCTGCTCCATCCCCCATAGCAGAAGTTATGATGCAATTGGCTGCATTCTCCACAACTGCACAGTTGTGTGGGGAACTCCACAGGAGTCAGTGCCATTTGAGGTAATTATAGGGTGCACATGAGATAAAGCTCCTGTAATGGCATGAAATCTAACACAGGATTAAAAGAAATGGGTATGTGCATGTAGAGATATGAAGGAAAAGGAAAACTGAGTGAAAGAAATAACATTCTTCTAGTTTTAATCTTAGAGTATTTAGATACAAGTAAAAGGAAATTCATTTTATTCAATATATAAATATTATTTTCTTAATTTGACAGTGTCTTGACTGCTGTAACCAAATTTGACAGTCTCTTTTTAAAACAGTTTATTCACATCACTGTATACAATGTGCAGCTCCCATTAAAGTGAATGGAGGAATAAATATTCAGGGTGCAAAATAAAGATTTTTGATAACTATTGGTTTCTGTCTCTTACTGGTAATACAACAGAAATGTAAAATACTATATGTCCAATTCACCAAAATTTGAGTGTTGGAATAAAACCGATATCCAACTTAAAACAGCATAATAATAATTCCATTCTACATATAACTGCAAAGTTCTTCCATCTTGAAACAAGACCTGTCAGACCAGAAAGACCTGAATGAATGTTAACAAAGAAGAATGACTAAATAGTGAAAAGTAATTATTTTTAGCTAATTATATTCCACTTTTAGCTAGGGAAACTAAGGATTCTGTTCTACAGGAATATCCTATTTCTGATGTACAAAAAAAAGTCTCAGAATAAATAATTAAGGTAAATATGCTATTGCAGGATCTTCATGCGAATTTATATTACTTCTACTAAGCAGTCTTCAATTATAATAGCAATTATTTTCTGCTTCCTCAGATCAACATATTTCGATGAAAAGATTTCTGACAACTCACAATTCTGTAATGCTAATTTACTTACTGTACCGTGATACTAGTGTTGTTTGAATTCCCAGGGCATGATGTGAACACACTGTTCTGTCTGTGCACCTGCACTGCTTTACTAAAACCAATCTCTATATTTGGTTTTGTGCTCTACTAATATATTATTGTTTTTTCTCTCATAAGTATGACGTTTTGGCTACAGATAAAGTAGCATGGTTCCAAAACAACTTACTTAACATTCAGCAGTGTAAACTATCACATCATTTATGAAATCTAATACATTTCATTGGTCACAAGCCTGTATGGAGATGATGAAACAGATGGAAGTTGGGAAATCATAATGCATAATATTGAAGATCTAAGAGCCAATTTCTCATCTGACTGAACTATATAAGATGTATTAAAGTAATAAAACAGTGTCTCCTTTTACTGACCAATATAGTGAGCAATTCAAGATCCTCTTGCACTCAGCCGTAAATCACAGAATATCAGGGTTGGAAGGGATCTCAGGAGGTCATCTAGTCCAACCCCCTGCTCAAAGCAGGACCAATCCCCAATAAAATGCTACAAACACGTATATATCCATTCACCAAGGGGGTGGGGGCCTGCTATTCCATTTCTTATTTAAACGTTACCACGATGAAACAGACTAAAGTAAAAGCAGCACTATTTGGCAGACATGGCAGAGGAAATTTGTTTTCCAGAAAGAGTGCCCAGCACCCACCACAGAGTAGTAAAACCATGGGATTCCCTCTGATGGCCCTGCCCTTTGCCAACAGCAGAGGTGCTTAGCTGTCTTCATCCTGAACCCCCCTTCCCAAAAGCTGACATTTACCCTTACAAAGCATAGCAAAGGGCAGCAAGAATAGTTACATAAGTGATCGTGTCATTACATGGGTATTGCCCAAACACGCGCTTCCCACGTACAGCACGGACGTTTAAATACTAACCCGCTGCCTCGAGCCACGCTGTCTGCTCCCGATTCTCAAACCCGGGCCGCATGTCCTAACCCAGAGGCAGCCTGGGGCCAGCAGGGGCCCTTCTCGCTCACGCACAGAAACCAGCGCCCCGCCCGTTATCTGCTCCCCTGCCCGCAGCTCCCTCTCGAAAGGGCCCTTCCCCCGACAGCGGGCCCGAACGAGGAGAAGGGGGAGGCGGCTGGGGGTGCGCAGCGCTCTCCCGGGCAGGGAGCTAAGGGGCTGCCCCCCGAGGAGCGCTGTCACTAGGGAGCCAAGTGGGGAGCGGGTGGCGCAGTCGCACCATGGGCTGAGGGACAAGCCGAGATGCGCTTCCCGAGCGAAAAGAGGAAGGAAGGAGTCGCCTGCCGCCCACCTCGACCGAGCGGCTCCTCGTACCTGAGTGATCGGGCCCGGCGCGGCGCCCCCCGCCGCAGCCAGCCAAGGACGTGGGACGGGGGCGCCACGGGCTCGCGCCGCTAGCTCCTGATGCCTTCACAAAACAACAAACAACCAGCAGCGGGGTAAGCGGCGCCTGCGCATTGCTACTGCGCCCCAGCACCCTGGCAAGTGTAGTCCGCTCGCTGCTCACTCACTGCGGGCCGAGCCCGAGGGGAACTACCGATCCCAGGCAGCAACGGGGCGGCGGCGCAGAGGTCAAAGGGCAACGAGGCTTGTCAACAAAGGAACCGTCAGCGGCTCCTTGAGGGGCTGGTGCTATGGCAACGCCGCACGCCCCCAACGCCTGAGCTTTGCGGAGCTGGGGCCACTGTCCAGAGCCGGCTGCAGCGCCTTGGGCAGCAGCAGCAGCGGCGCCGGCGGCCAGGCTGAGGCGGACCGTGGTAAGCAGCGGCAGAGCGCGCGCGCCGACCCGACCTGTCGCGGTGGGTAGTTGGCGCCTGTTAAGTCTCAGAACTTGAGAGGTGGGGTAAGGCCGCGGCCCCACTCCTGGCGCTGTAAACGATTGTCCGTCCGTGCCCGGCTCGCCGCAGCGCCGGAGCCAGAGGCACAGGCCGCATTTCTCAGCTGGAGGAGGCAGGAGAGGGTAAAGTCCGTGTCGTGTCCTGGCTGTTTCACCAAGTCCCGGCTGTGCTCCTGGGAGGCATTTTAAAGATGGGGAAGAAAGGGATAAAAATAACCCTGTTACGTAAAGCAGGCATGTACAAAATCGGATCAGGAGACGAGACATTCCCATGCACTTACTTTTAGTGCCAGTCAGCGGGCACGGATATTAAACAGCCAATGCAACTCGGAGAACCTGACAGTGAAAGTGGCTGTGTAAACTACAGACTTCATGCCAGTTTACTGGCTCATCTGAAAGGAATGCAACAAGGAAAAAGATTAGTGATAAGTGTTGTCAGTTTTAATCTACCATTGTATTAGCAACAGAGGTAAATTAATGGTTTATTCAGGATTTTTTTAAATTGACAGTATCCCACTTACACCTAAAGTTTAATCTAAACCAGTGAATTTATATGTTAGAGAGACAAGGTGAGGCAATAACTTATTGGACCAACTTCTGTTGGTAAAAGACAAGCTTTTCAGCTTACACAGAGCTTTTCTAAAGGTCAGCTGAACCTCTAAAGGTCACCAGGCTGGAATGACTTATTTCATCAAAATGAATGAATACAATTCTGGATCAGTTCTTACATCACCATAGTATCAGCACACCCTCCCGTCATGCATTAAACCACATGACTAACATCTGTCATACATGTTCTCTCATCCTCTCCCTAGGGGGAGAAGTGTACAGTAGAGTGTCTTGTTTTGGTAAGGCTTTTTTTGTGAATGGTAGGCAGGAGTTAATATGCAAGTTACATACTTGTTAGAAAAGGGAAATCAAAGAAAACACCAAACCTTTCACTTGAGAAATTTAGAATATAGATTTTAAAAATATATTGACAAGGGATCTGTTTTGTCAGTTCAAACAGTAGAAATTGCCTTCTCTCTGAAAAAAAATTACTAAACCACCTATCTAAACTCCACAGCAAAACAGTTGTTTATAGAAATACAGAAGTTCAGCAAGTGAATCCTTAGTACACACACGCCTTGGTGGGTGGGGGGGGGAACTATCCTTTTGTCAACTTCATTTGAAGAACAGCAGTATAGAAAAGTTCATAGGACTGGCATTTCAGTAGTTTTCTTCTCTAGAGTCATTCGTCTGTTATCATGCATTTAAAAATAAATAAATAAAATAGAAAATCAGCACTTAGCTTACCTTTCATATAACACTTACCAGTTAGAAAAGGTTGGTAAAGTAAATGTGGCAACCCTTATATTCTCTTATAAAGGCAGCAATTTTGCACTGATATGATTTTATACATGTTCAAATCACTGGATAGATATTCAGGCCTCTGTACACTCAGGAGTAGCCCCACGTCAGTAATGAAGGGTGCAAACCCCAGCTTGTCCTTGTCTAGTTATACTTAGTTGCACTGGTATTGAGTCCTATGCCTAGTGCTGGCCATTGATTGCTGAATCATAAGACTGGAAAGGACCTTGAGAAGTCATCTAGTCCGGTGTCCTGCACTCATGACAGAACTAAGTATTCTCTAGACCATTCCTGACAGGTGTTTGTCTGACCTGCTCTTAAAAATCTCCAATGATGGAGATTTCACAACCTCCCTAGGCAATTTATTCCAGTGCTTAACCACCCTGACAGTTAGGAAGTTTTTCCTAATGTCCAACCCAAAGCTCCCTTGCTAAAATTTAAGCCCATTGCTTCTTGTCCTATCCTCAGAGGTTAAGGAAAAAGATTTTTCTCCCTCCTTGTAACAACCTTTTACATACTTGAAAACTGTTATATCCTCCCCCTCCCCCCCCGTCTTCTCTTTTCCAGACTAAATAAATCTGATTTTTTCAGTCTTCCCTCATAGGTCATGTTTTCTAGACCTTTAATCATGTTTGTTGCTCTTCTCTGGTCTCTCTCCAATTTGTCCACATCCTTCCTGAAATATGGCATCCAGAACTGGACACAGTACTCCAGTTGAGGCCTAATCAGCACAGAGTAGAGCGGAAGAATTACTTCTTTAGTGCTAGACTAAATTACCTAGGGAGGTTGTGGAATCTCTGTCATTGGGGATTTTTAAGAGCGGGTTGGTAAAACACCTGTCAGGGATGGTCTAGATAATACTTAGTCCTGCCTTCCAGGTCCCTTCCAGTTCTATGATTCTCATGTCTTCCTTACAACACGCCTGCTAATACATCCCAGAATGATGTTGGCTTTTTTTGCAACAGTGTTACACTGTTGACTCATATTTAGCTTGTGATCTACTATTACCCCCAGATCCCTTTCCACAATACTCCTTCCTAGGCAGTCATTTCCCACTTTGTATGTGTGCAACTGACTGTTCCTTCGTAAATGGAATACTTTGCATTTGTCCTTATTGAATTTCATCCTATTTACTTCAGACATTTCTCCAGATCATTTTGAATTTTAATGCTATCCTCCAAAGCACTTGCGACCCCTCCCATCTTGGTATTGTCCGCAAACGTTATAAGTGTACTTTGTATGCCATTATCTAAATTATTGATGAAGATATTGAATAGAATCGGACCCAGAACTGATCCCTGTGGGACCTCAGTCATTAAGTCCTTCCAGCATGACTGTGAACTACTGATAACTACTCTCTGGGAACGATTTTTCAACCAGTTATGCACCCACCTTCTAGTAGCTCCATCTAGGTTGTATTTCCCTAGTTTGTTTATGAGAAGGGCATGTGAGACAGTATCAAAAGCCTTACTAAAGTCAAGATATACCACATCTACCACTTCCCCCCCATCCACAATGCTTGTTACCCTGTCAAAGAAAGCCATCAGGTTGGTTTGACATGATTTGTTCTTGATAAATCCATGCTGACCTTTACTTATCACCTTATTATCTTCTAGATGTTTGTAAACTGATTGCTTAATTATTTGCTCCATTATCTTTCCAGGTACAGAAGTTTATCTGACTGGTCTGTAATTCTCTGGGTTGTCCTTATTTCCCTTTTTATAGATGGGAACTGTATTTGCCCTTTTCCAGTCTTCTGGAATCTCTCCCGTCTTCCATGACTTTTCAAAGATAATCGCTAATGGCTCAAATATCTCATCAGTCAGCTCCTTGAGTATTCTAGGATGCATTTCATCAGGCCCTGGTGACTTGAAGACATCTAATTTATCCAAGTAATTTTTAACTTGTTCTTTCCCTATTTTAGTCTCTTCTGATCCTACCTCCTTTTCACTGGCATTTACTATGTTAAGACATCCAATCACCACCAATCTTCCCGGTGAAAACCGAAACAAAAAAGTCATTAAGCACCTCTACCATTTCCAGTTATTGTCCCACTCCCCTCCCCCCATTGAGTAAGGAGGCCTACCCTGTCCTTGATATTCCTCTTGCTTCTAATATATTTTTAGAATGTTTTCTTGTTACCCTTTATGTGTCTAGCTAGTTTGATCTCATTTTGTGCCTTGGGCTTTCTAATTTTGTCCCTACATACCTGTGTTATTTGTTTATATTCATTCTTTGTAATTTGACCGAGTTTCCACTTTTTGTAGGACTCTTTTTTGATTTTTAGATCATTGACGATCTCCTGGTTAAGCCTATCTTTACTACGCAGTGGAATAGTTTGCTCTTGTGCCCTTAATAATGTCTCTTTGAAAAACTGCCAGCTGTCTTCAATTGTTTTTCCTCTTAGTCTTGCTTCCCATGGGATCTTACCTACCAACTCCCTGAGTTTGCTAAAGTCTCCCTTCTTGAAATCCATTGTCTTTATTTTGCTGTTCTCCCTCTTACCATTCCTTAGAATCATGAACTCTACCACTTCATGATCACTTTCATACAAACTGCCTTTCACTTTCAAATTCTCATCCAGTTCTTCCCTATTTGTCAAAATCAAATCTAGAACAGCCTCTCCCCTAGTAGCTTTCTCCACCTTCTGAAATAAAAAAATGTCTCCAATAAAGGATATTCAAGAGTGTAGAAAAGGCCTAATCTTTGCAACACCACTGTGAAATAGTTGAGTAAACACTAATATCCCTATTTTACAGATGAGGAAGCACAACAAAGTACAGGAAGTTATTTGCTCAAGCCATGCCACAAGGCAATAGCAGAACCAGCATTAAGCCTCCTGACGCTGGACCTTGTGCTCATTCCTCCTCCACATCACACTGTCTTGAGCCAAGCAGTAATGCATACACAGATTAGACTGTTTTAGTGAAGCTGGAAATCTCAGCAAGGCATCAATCTTATGCCATATTTGAAAAAATGAGGGAACTTTTCACCTTTGACAGCCACATCAGATCTTGGTTAGAATAGCTCATCCAAGGACTGCCACGTCTAGCAGTTGTCTAGTTCCGAATTATAGAATCAGAATAGGATTAGACAAAGGGTCTATAGCAGTAGTTTTCAAACTTTGGGTTGTGACCTGGAATGCAAGGCACTGGGTCACCTTGCTGGCAGCCGGCCAGTAAAAACTAGTAATCCCTACCTGTTCTGACACTGCACTGCACCCCGGAAGCGGCCAGCAGCAGGTCCGGCTCCCAGGCAGAGGGGCCACAGAGCTCTGCATGCTGCCCAAGCACCGGCTCCGCGCTCCCATTGGCCAGGAACCGGGCAATGGAGCTGGGGCAGCGGGCAGCGCCTGAGGGCGAGAGCCGTATGGAACCGCTTATGTGCCTCTGCCTAGGAGCCGGACCTGCTGCTGGCCACTTCTGGGGCGCTGCGCAGTCCACGGTTCCAGGACAGGCGGGAAGCCTGCCTCTGCACCCCGGCTGCACCGCTGACCAGGAGCCATCGGAGGTAAGCCCATGCCCCAACCCCTGCGCCCCAAACCTCTCATCCCTGGCCCCACCTTAGATCCTGCACCCCCAGCCCAGAGCCCTGACCCCCTCCCGCACCTGAACCCCCTGCCCCAGTCCAGAGCCCCCTCCCACATCCTGAACCCCTCATTCCCAGCCCCACTCCACAGCCCTCATACCTGCACCCCAACCCTCTGCCTCAGCCCACTCCCACACCCCAAACCCCTCATCCCCAGCTCCGTTGGGTCGCGGGCATCAACAATTCTCTTCAACTGGATTGCCAGAAAAAAAGTTTGAAAACCACTGGTGTATGGAACCTGAACCCAACCTTCAGTCTCAAGGGAAAAGATTTCTTCCCAATGTTCCACAGTGATATCTACAATTTTTTTTCTTTATGAAACGGTAAAGAACACTAATGCTAGATATATTTAAACTTTAGTGAATGCTATAATTCAAGCAAATGGCTACCCAGGACAATAGTCACCATGTCACATCTGATAATTGTTAGTAATGAACAATTACTGATTATTTAATTCTATGGAGTACTCTTTACTGTGGAACGGAGCCTTCACAAATAAACTTATGTCCACGGATATGACTAAGGTATGGTATTTTAAAAAAAAATATTCCAGGATTATCAGGTCTCTGCAATTTTCCACACATTCTAAAATTTCATTTGAAAAAAAATTCTATCCCCCCTCCAATATAATAGGCCCTCCACAATATAAACTATAAATGCAGCCCTTCTAAACTGACAGAAAACTAGAAACAGTAGAAACAAAGATGTGAATTAGCTGCTCCTTCACTTCAGTGCCTACACAGAGGATTGTATCAGTAAATTACTAGACTACTCTAAAATTACACTTACTTGGAATCAAGCCATTTAAAAATAAATGTAAAACTTTAGGACAACGTTTAGAATTATGCAAAATGCCCCTTCTCCCACAAATATAAGCAGCATTGTTTAGCCCCTTCCCCTGTGCAAATTAATCTTTCTGAATTATTATACTGAAGCTGTAACATGCTGTGTTGTTATTATTCCTCCTTCCCAAAAATCTAACCCACTAAGAAGGTATTATAAATTTGAGTGAAAGAATGAGTCTGAATCTAAGCATGGGTTTCGCATGCTACATAACCCTCTTTTCATTGTGCCACTTTTTGCTGGAGCTTACCTATTTACCATCTTTAAAATAGCACACCACTAAAGTAACTGGATCCAGGTAAATAGCTGAATAATATGTAAGTGACCTGTACAATGCACTGCAGAAGCATACAACAAAATTCTGTGAAAGTTGGGAAAAATTCCTTTTAGTTTCATGGCTTTTTTTCCCCTGCAGCTTTCTTCTGCAAGAAACACATTACTTTCCATACACAAGTAATTAAACTAATAATATACTTATGTAGTGATCAGATTCCTAATATCTGTTTGTTTAATAAAAACAATGATTTAATATGAATCTAACTGAAATATTAATTTTGTCCTGTTATTTATAAAGAGAAGAAACTCATCAAAATTATCTCTTATTTAGGAAAAGAAAATGACTTCTGCTGAGATGCTACCATCAAGTACCAACACGGAGAAAATCAAATCTGTTCAACTGCCTTCCTGTGCAAATCCTGGCAATCCTGTGTTTTCCTGTATGTTGGACCCAAAGACACTCACTACCAACAATTTCTTGACAAACCCTCAGCTTTTACTGTTTAAAACAACTTCAAGTGAATATGGTGCTATACCACCTACCTCCCAAATGGTACCGTGTACCTACCATCCACAAGATGAAACATTTACAAAACATTTGTTAATTTGTGGTTTGACTCAACATAACTATATAAACACTGCCATTGACAGAAGTAGGGTATATGACTACCCAAATATGCAGCATACTCTGTAAAATTGTACTATCTTACTTTTCTCACGTATTTACTGAAATACTACTCATTTTAGTTTTGGGAAAACAAAATGGAGGGCTGTTATTTTTGTTGTCCATTTTGGGAGTAAAGTGGCAATACGTATTACAGTAAAACACTTTTTTGATCCTTGTAGTAAACAGGATTTTAAGTGAGTATTTGTTAATACATTTCTGTGCATCAACCCATACATGAATAAAGTATCTCTCTTTAAATGAATATGTTAAACACAACACTTCTTGTACATTAAAGAGCTAAGTGCAACAGAAATTCACTTAAGAGGATAGATCTTTGAGATTAATGTTCAAAACAAGTGTCAGATCCCGTGTTACAAGGCCAGACTTTTTTTTTTTTTTTAAATTGATCAAATCCTGCCAATATTTCCACCACCTGCAACCCCAAGGAAGCCAATAGGGTAAGTGAGTGCAGAATTTGTCTCAAAATAATTTTGATGTGAGTAGGTTGTCCTTTAACAGGTTTGTGCTCTGCTTCAGTCTTAGAATTTGTACTGTGCAACTTACGCAGAGACAAATTCTGCAACTCCTTCCACAGTTGAGGAAAGTCAAAACCTTAAAGCTGTTCCCAACCTTTTTTGCATAAAGTGGAGTTGGGACTATACAGTTCTGCATGGAGAAGAGGTTCAGTGGTAAACTTTCTGCACAAAACATGAGGAAAGTATTTTGCATAGGTCAGGATAACAGCCAGTGGATCTGATAAACACACTGATCAACTAGAACACAACGCAAGTATAAGGGAGGTGATACAACAGTTTGCAGCCAACCTACTGGCTGTAATGTAGTGTCCAAAATCAAGCTGTGCACACTGCCTCTGAGTTGCTGAAGGGGGGATGCCATCTATTCTTATCAATGTAGTTTTCCCCATGTACAGCCCTTTGAGGTCTGCATGTGAGACAAATGTTTTAATCTACAGGCACTGTTACAATACGCACCTTAAAATACTAATTTAGACTGAAGGGTGCATAAATATGAAAACAAAAGTAACTGAACTTCTATATTTGACCATATTTTTAGCAGTAGGTAAATGGGAATTCAGTCACACAAATCTTTGTTAGGTACACACGTGTTTGCTTGATAAATAGGGGTTTTGATGGCACAAATATAGAGATTGGGTTGAGGGCAGCTAAAAGTTGGGTCAGGAATTTTATGCAAGAATGGTTCATTTTGTCCTCATATGTAAAATATAGTCTGAACAGAAGATTAAGTATAAATCACATGCTCTGGAATAAAACATTCACTGCATGGAACAGACAGCTCAGAGGAAAACACAAAGAATAAATGAAAACTTCAGGCAGATAATATCTTGTGAACATCAGTAACTGTGTCTTTAGGTTCCAAAGAAGTGGCATTCAGAATAAGTGAGAAACAAAAAATTACATTTCAGCAAAAATGGGTGAATGCTAATCACAGCCCTGCATTAGGGATAACAAACAGAGGGAGCACTGGGAGGCATTATGCATAGCTGCTTCACTATGCTTAAAGAGAGCATAATATAGTGTCTGCTAACTGGTTCTAAGGAATGGTAGAGCCCTCTTGCATAAAATTCCCAGAGTGTCAGAAATTCCCTAATTGTCAAATCAGGAACAAATCAGGAACCTAAGAAATTCAGAATGAGATCAAGTATTGCATCATAGCTGTTCGCCATCAGTGCCAAGCATACTCAGAAATAACAGTCAGAAGTTTAAAATAAGTATAACTGTATCCCAGACCACATTAACAAAGCCAGTAAGGTCCAATTTTTTCAGCCTACGGGCCAAGCTTTAGTTCAAAAAAGTCAAAGGGCCACAATCAGTACTCTGGGGGCAGGTTCTCTGCCCTGTTCCACTCCATTTGGGCAATGCAACTTCTCCTCTTTTCCTCATCTCTAGGGCTGCCCAACTTGGTTTTGTTCGGGAAGGTAGTCACATTTTGTTGGTGCTCCCTAGTCTCAAACAGGGCCAGTCAAGCTCCTATCCTGCTATCCCCAACATTCCCATAACCACATGTACTTATCTCCTCCCAGAGCCCAGGCTCCAACCCAAGTCCAGAGTGCTTGACCACTACATTCATTCAGTGCAAAAATGCAAACTACAGCTGTGAGCTGATGGAGTATTAAACACTTTAGAAAATGTTTTTTGATACCTGCTTAGCAACCATGAATACCAAAGAAATAACATCTCTAGCAGTTATCTATTTTACTAATTACTTACAAATTGTCAAATCAGGAACAAATTAGTAACCTAAGAAAGAAATTCAGAATGAGATCAAGTATTGCATCATAGCTGTTCACCATCAATGCCAAGCATACTCAGAAATAACAGTCAAAAGTTTAAAATAAGTAGAACTGTATCCCAGACCACATTAACAAATCCAGTAGGGTCCAATTTTTTCAGCCTAAGGGCCAAGCTTTAGTTCAAAAAAGTCAAAGGACCACAATCAGTACTTTGAGGGCAGATTCTCTGACCTGTTCCACTCCATTTAGGCAATGCAGATGGCATTAAGGGAGCAGAAACCATTCACATATCCTGCAGGGATTCTCCAGGCATGGGAGAGTCCCCATGGGACATAGAACAAGTGTAACCCCTGCTTCAGTACTTTCCTCATTGCAGCATGGAAGAACGTTGGGGAAGAAAGGAGCAAGTTAGGAGCAGGGAGAAAGTGGCTTGAGAACAATGTGTTCTCACTATATCCAGCTGGGATGTAGTCTTTAGGGACCGTAACCAGTTGGCACAAATTAAGGCAGCCTGCAGGCTGCTCTAACCTGCTTTGGGGCTGGAGGAGAATCAGGGATCCACAACTGGTTATTGGTTCTCAGCTTCTCCTCTTTTCCTCATCTCTAGGGCTGCCCAACTTGGTTTTGTTTGGGAAGGTAGTCATATTTTGTTGGGCTTCCTAATCTCAAACAGGGCCAGGTAAGCGCCTATCCTGTTATCCACAACAATCCCACAACCACATGTACTTATCTCCTCCCAGAGCCCAGGCTCCAACCCAAGCCCAAACATCTATACAGCAATTTTAGAGCCCCACAGCTCAAGCCCTGGAACCCCAAGTCAGCTGACCCAGGCAAGCCGCAGGTGCTTAATTGCTGTGTAGATGTACCTTAAGATTCTGGCAGGTTTAAGTGATCATTAATAGGACACTTTATAACAAAATTAATGCCATTATGAAATAAAAGATTTACAGATGTATTTAGCCAACAGCAGGCTTGCTGTTTTTCATTTAAAATGCATTACTACTGACAAAATTACAATTGCATCATAACTGTTCGGTCAGTTCAATCAATATATGTCAAATCTTTTTGAATGGGTTAGAAACATTTAATATACATTGCTTAATACTCAAATAACATTTCACTGCATTTTACAAAGATTATATTAACCCTTCTCCAGACCAAGATTTCCCAAGTCGTATGCCTGATATTAAGCACCTAAATTCAAAATTAGACACCTAAATACATAGCCTGATTTTGAGAGGCACCAAGTTTTGATAACTTTGTCTTCAATGGGAGCCGCTAGTGCTGAGCAACTGAAAAATCAGGCCTTTAAAGTTCACCGCATCATATTTGAATATTTTGGCTCCAGTTTTTTAAGGAAGTGTTTTAGGGTTGTTTGTTTGGGCAAATTCGTATACAATATGAGCATTATTTAATTTCTAGTCCTATGTGAAATATTTCTAATTGGATGACTTCTGATTCCACAACAGTTCTGATGGCTGTTCCTTTCTACATTAGCACTTTAACTTTGGTAGCAGAACTATGAACATAGTTAATAATGTTGACTAACCACTGAAGTTGTTTTAAAAATCCATGAGACTACATTTGTTTACTTAATAACAGATTTGAAATTAAATATAGTAAAGTATGTTCTGTTATTCAGGTTAGCCAATATTTCATACAAAAAAAACAAATGACAATTTTGGAAACAGGTAAGAAAATAAAATGTGTATTATTTACTTCTCTTTCTGCACTATATTTACCCAAGTTATAGTAGTTCTTATGAGAAGTATCTTCTCTTTTACCCAATTTTATAATTGGGATGAGCGCAGAACAAAAATGTCTGGTGACTTCACTGGCTCAGGCAGAATTTAAAATAAGGGTTTTCCAGATTCCAACCTGTTAAATACACCACCATGCTGATTCTAGCCTTTGTTAAGAATCTTGTGCAGTTCCATGAATTATATGTTCAATCTTCTCAGCATCTTGTTCTAAAGTTTTATTTGTAGGATCGATCTTGAGAGCAGCTTCATAATCCTGGAGACCTAATATTAATACAGTAAGCAGATTATTAATCCTATATACAACAGTATTTATACTTTTTAACAGCTAGTTGGAAGTAACTTTCCCTAAGTTATATGCAAGTAAAGGTAGGGCAGCTTGAGTTTCAGATAATTTTACTGAATGGGATTTGGAGCAGAACAAAATATGGTCTTAAATATTTTCATACAGCCCAAAGTTAATTTAATAATTTCATAAGACTAACAATTGTTTCTAATGGAAATATCACACAGTTATATTAAAATCTTAAACTATTATTAAAACTTACAACATTATTCTAAAACACAAACAGAACCTTTTATATATTTACATGGTGCCTTGCAAACTCACTTTGTCACATCTTTGCCCTAAAGAGCCTGCAGCCTAAGGCCTCAAACCTGCAAATGGATCTGCACAGACAGAGACTTGAGTCTCTGTGGTACTCCACTGAAGTTATTAGGTACGCACACAAGCACTAAGTCCAACCACATGGATTCGATTGCAGGATTGGGGTTTAAATTAGAATAGACACATGTACTGTTCAGATAAGCAATGATGCAGTGAATACTGATGAGAAGAAAATAAGAAAGATTTCTGGAAGAAGTGGATTCTGAAGAGGAGAAAAAGGATGTAGGAAGGCATGAAGCTGAGAATGCAAGAAGAAAACTAAGGCTATGTCTATACTATGGACCTTACAGAGGTACAGTTGTAACGCTACAACTGTGCTGCCGTAAGGTTTCCAGTATAGCCGCTCTTTGCCGGCAGGAGAGAGCTCTCCTGACAGCACAGTTAAACCACCCGCCAACAAGCGGCGTTAGCAACATTGCAATGTCCACACCAGCACTTTTGTTGGTGAAACGTACGTCGGTCAGGGAGGTGTTTTTTCAAACTCCTGACTGACAAAAGTTTTACCGACAGAATTGCTAGTGCGGACAAAGCCATAACCTGTGAATAGAGTAGTCTGAAAAGCCATAATGAGTGCAAGGGGGAATAAGAAATTATAAAACAAATGTAAGAGGTGAAAAGGTTTATATAGTCTCAAACTGGATATGAAACAGCAGGAGAAAAGCCAACAAAGTGATTCAAAAGGAGAGGACATGACCAGAGGAGAGGGAAAAAAATACAAGTTTAAATAGTGGCATTTAAAAAATTTACCTCATACCTTCTCTCTCATTTTTAACTTTGCCTTGTGAGATAAGAATGGTATATTATTAGAAAGCTCAATAGATACGCACCATTATTACAGATTTTCTAACAAATACAGGGGAAAATATTTTACCTGTCAAAAATGTATACATTTCAGAATAAAAATAATGTTTTAAAAAGACTTGTTTCTGATGACTTCATAAGAAAATATTTACAGTTTATATTTTTACATCTTTGGAAAAATTTGGGAGTTTAAGATTTTTCACTTTTTGTGGTATATAAACTGTAACGGTATGTTTTTTCATACTATACATATATGTATCTCAGCAATAAAACAGAAGTTCTTTAAACATTATGGCCCCAATTCTGAAAAGATTTAAGTATATGAGTAGCCCATTGATCCTAATGGGATTACAGTCATGTAATTTTAAACACATACATAAGAGTTTGCAGACTCAGAGCCTGAATTCTTACCTTCAGCATACAACTCCAGCTGACAAAATGCTGTCCCACGCCTCACATAAGCTTTCACTCTAGCATCAGCATTGTCTGAAACAGGTGGTATCAGTAATTCTAGTGCCTTTACAAATAAAAATATCCAAGATATTTAGAGACAGATTTTCTGTGGCCTAACCTCCCATTTGCAGATACACATGCACCCACAAAAATCTGCATTCTCATTTAATTACCTGGTTTGTGGTGTAACCACTATGATTTGCATTCACAATTTGTTTGCAGGTGCGAAAACGCAAGTGCAGTTTTAAAAGTGTAAACTGTCCCACAGTAGGGAATCTGGATCTTAGGTTGGTGCATAAAGTGTTAATGATTATTTGTAAACAGCAAATATATTCCATTATCATAGTCCAATATCACAAATAGTGCTCCAAACAAAATATTGATCTCATTACTACAGTTACTAGGAGAAATAAGTTTAGAGCCTCATGGAGTGCTTAGTTCAAGCAAAGATTTTGGGACCCATTTTTTTCAAAATATCCATGTGTGTCAGGTAATGAGTTTTTTTATTTTTTTAGTAAACTAAGTAAAAACACAGTACAAATTGTGCTGAAGCACTATTAGATAACAGAACATAGAGATTTTCGGTCTTTCCACAAGCAGTGGTTGATCAAATATTGAGACATTCCAGCAATCTTTTAAGAGAATCTTTTGGATTATTGTTGGGTTTGTTTTTTTTAATTCTTCATACTAAGTGCAGAACGAAAGACAGATTATGAAATTTATGTGGGTATATTCTATAAACCTTTGTCACTAAAAGCTTTTTTAAAAGAGTAAGTATATCTGTTTATGTTCTTTTCTTGATGGGCACTATTTTATTAAAAATATAGTTACTGTATCTATCAAGTCCCAACTTGTTAGATTATACTGCATGAACACAAAATTTTGAAACCATCATTAGCCAATCATTTCTCCTTTAATCCAACCCTTTAATAGTCATTTTATTTATCATTAGGGCTGAACAATCCAAAATGTTGATACATCATTGTCTGTGTACCAAACTTAAGCTGTTATATAGTGTCCATAAGTATTTACATTCTTGCTTGACAGAAAAATTAGCTATATGTTAGTTTAATATCATATCCATGTTATACGGAGATTAACTATAAAAATCTACTTTGTGTGTAATATATGTATACCTTAGATGAATCTTCAATGGTCTTGTGCAAGTTTCTCAATTTAAGGTGACAAGCAGCACGATTCAGATACAGTACTGGAATCTTATTATTTAACAGAATTGCCAGGTTATAGGCATTTACAGCTGCAAGATAGTTTCCTGTGGCAAACATTTTGCTGAAAACATAATAAAAAGTACATTTTAAACAAGGAAAAACATAATACGATACAGAATGCCTATCTACTGTAAACAATTTGGACTAAACTAACAATTTCAAACAAGTTAAAAAAAAAACATTAAAAACTGATCATTTATGACATTTTGGATGACATAATAAACAATGTAGATGCAGTCTACTCAAACTTCATGCTGGCAGCCAGGTTGGCAAAAGTTTATGACAAAGTAAGGTAACACAGCACTGAAGAACAGGAAAAGCAGATCATATTTCCATGGATATGGTACAGACAATTAATAGACGTTAATGCCAGACTTTTCTCAGATAACGATCACCTAATCTAAACTCCTGAATAACAGAGGCGATAGACTCCCACCCAGTAATTCCTGCATCAAGTTGATAACTTCTATTTGGGCTTTATCGTATCTTTTACACAGATATCCAGTCTTGATTTAAAAGACTTCAAGTGATCGAGAACCCACCACATCACTAGGTACATTGTTCCAATGATTAATTACCCTCCCCGTTAAAAATTTGCAATTTACGTCCAGTCTGAATTTCTCAGCATCTGCTTCCAACCATTGGATCTTTTTTGCATGATTAGAGAGCTATCTGCTATTAGGAATCTCTTCCCCATGTAGGTACTTATAGATTATGATCAAGTCCCCTCTTAACCTTCTCTTAAATAAACTAAACAGACTGAGCTTCTCATATTATAACAATAATATTAATATACCATCTAGTTGTTATATAGCACTTTTTATCGATAGTTTGCAGAGTTTTACAAAGGAGGTCAGCATCATTATTCCCATTTTACACATGGACACAGGGAGGGAAACGATTTGCCTAAGCAGGCCAGTGACCTCGCAAGCCTGTGGCAGAGCAGTCTTCCGAGTCCAATCCAGTGCACTATCCCCTAAAGCCACAGGCTCACTATAAGGCATTTTTCCTAGAACTCAAAGATGTGGTGTATACATTATTTGTAAATCATCCAGTGAAAATGATGGAAAATAAAATTCTGCATGGAAAGATAACATACAAACTAAAAATTTTCTACACTAAAAAACGGAATCAGCATTTAACTTCCGAAAAATAATGTATTCGGTAGTTATGTTTCTGATACATGCTTGTAGTCATATCTTGGAATGAGTTTAACTCACTTTCCTTTGTCCTTCAACCAGTCTGGGTTCTTCTCCTCCTCATTTAAATCCTTCAGCTCAGAAAAATTAGCATTCATTGCTCTACGAGCCTCTGCTTGCTTATGCAGCCACTGTGGTAGGAAGATGTGTGTGCAACATGTTAGCATTTTGTTTGTTTGATTTACTTTTTGAGATTTAGGTTTTCATTTTGCTTTCATCCTTTCACTTACTTATTGAGGAAGTATTTCTTTACCCCATTTTTAGTAGAAACACCTAGCTGTTGATTCAAGATCAGAAAAGCTCTAAGTTTTCCCATATATTTTGTTTCTAAATGAGCAGTAAGGGTGCAGTACTGCCTGACTACTAAACTGTTTTTTGTTTATTGTGATTACAAAGAAGAATGTATCAATGCTCATCCAACAGAGTCCCAAAGAACAGATTGTGAATTTAGACCAAAAAATGTCATAATCTAGTTTGATCTTAACCCCACAAGAGGATAGAATTTATAGAATGCATTTCATCCTTGTATGTGAAGTGAAATTTGGTATGGAATTCAAGTATAAACATATAATTCTTTAAAACTGTTTAAAATAAAAACAAGCTATTTCTGTAAATCTGAACAATCACATCTTAGGTGAAAAGTGATTTAGTTGGAAACATTTCTTTTAATATTACACATAAATAAGATTGAGGAATCAGTGGGAAACTGGTGTCTTTTCAGCTGCCATCCAGGACTGAGAACAGGGGCTCCCACTGTCAGCCTCCTGTATGGTCGGGCTCCTGCTGTCGAAATTGCAGTTGAAGCCAAATATTGTGGGATCCACAATTTCTGCAATATCACAAATTAAGTAGGGCCTTACTTATAGTACATATTCAAGGTGATTACAATAACTTGGTACCGTTATGTTTTTTTAAAAAATACAATTTCAAGAAATAATGTGACTGTTTTTCCAGACCAACATTTAATATAAATTATTTCAATTACTTCAATTTATAGTCCTGTCTTCCCTGCCATAATAGTCATATTACACAGTACAACCAAGGTTCCTATTTGCAGTTTATCCGTGATGAAAAAAGTGATCAGTGATATAGAATAGTTTACTTTTCAAACTAACTTAGCAACCTGTACATATTCAGTAGGAAAATCGATAGAAAATACAGGACTCAAAGAAATATATAAAGGATGACAGGAAGGACCAAAGCAATGCTCAGCACTCTACAACCACAGGAATTGCTTAATAAGGGATATAGCTTTCTTAAGTTAAAGGTGGATGACCACTACTCCACATAAGTATAGAAGAGAACATATTTGTATCTCGGTTAAATTAGAAGTGACCATTTCAATTGCTCACAATATCTCTAGTTTAAACTAATTTCAACAAAGGAAAATAAATGAGAAGTACATATGACTTCATGAAATGACAGGAAGATTGGTAAAGATGTATCAGTCTCATGTCAAGAATAAGACTTCCACGTTGTAACTTCTATTTCCAACAGTATTACTACCAAAATGTGAGCTTTCCTGCTTGGTTTAGTAAAGCAATCGAAGACCCATTCCTATAGGACTGTAGTTGGCCACATGAATGAATAGCACTACAAGCACCTCTGAGTGCAGTGAGAGCACCCTCGCAAAATGGAAAAATATCCTTACCTCTTCCTCTTCTGCTACTCGGGATTCTCTGAGAGCTGTAGGAAACACTCGAGATGTGAAACTAATTTTAATAGTACCAGCAGATCGAGGAGCAGGGAAAGATTCTTCTTTTAACTTCCCTGAAAATATATTTTCAGAACTACAAGCTGCAAAGATAGAAGTAGAACAACAGAAGAAAGCAAATTTATTTTTCCATTTTCTCCTTTCCCCATCATATTTTCAAGTAGACCTAATTTACAGTTTTATAAAGTAGAAGTGCACCTCAAGTTTTTCTGTTTTGTGTCCTGAAGGAATAGCTCTAAACACATTAAAATCACACTTTTTTATGCAAGTTGGTTATATCGCCATACACAGTAAACTCACAGTATGTACAATTCCTGTAGGATGTACAAAACCTCTGTAAAATTTGAGTTTCATATAAATCAGTTTTGGTTTTCATATGAATTTCAGATACAGGGACAGATTTGAGGTTTGGAAAATGGGGGCTTACACTGAAGGCTATATGCAGAAGTCACCCAATCATTTTGCAGTATATTTTACACTGAATACCATGTAACATTTCCGCTTGTATTAGGAACTTGGTAGCTATGTTCCATGAGAGAGAAGGTTTTTTTAATCCAATACTTCTGTGGTTTAGGAGTGCACAGAAATCACTAATTAATTAGCATTAAGAAGCAGCATTTAATGGAATGGTATTATTTGCAATGAAGTATTATGTTGAGGGGCTCGGAAGGAAAGAAAGGGTAAAAAAAAATGCTAAGAACCAAAATCTCCCCTTACGTGTGACTCAACACATTGACAGCAAGTAAACAAGAGACTAAACCAACTGGAGTCAAAAAGAAAAATAAGTAGTTCAGTACAGTACCTAGATATGAAGGTAGAACATACCAGAAACGCCTAGAAAGGTTTAAGAATTGAATTTTTAATACCACAAACATAGTATATAGGTTAAAAAAAGGTAAAACTTTATTCCAAATACCACCTCTTGTAGATATACTTCTAGTCTTGGAAGTTCCTGCATTTAGAGTTTTAGCTTTATTTATTTCTTGCTTTTTCTTCTCCTCTATTAGTTTCCTTTCTCTGCGTATTTCCTCTTCTCTTTGTATCCTTCTTTCTTTCTCCTCATTTCTCTGCTTTTCTTTCCATCTCTCCAGCTCCTCAGTGACCTTCTTTCGCTCCTCCTCTTTCAGATTTTCAATTCTTTTTCTCTCCGTTTCTTCTAGCTGTTTGAATTGCAGAACTATCAGAACACGTAACGTTTGGTGAAAATGAGCAGAACAGAAATGAGAGTGCATAAGTATCTTCCCAATTCTACACAGCACTATTATTAATATGTGACATTATATACAGAATTGAGGTATTCTAGACAAATAGTTGGAAAAGGAGGAAACTGATTGGCTTATACGTATTAATACGTAAAATAACTCACAGAGCTTGAAAAATATATGCCTCAAGCTATTTTAATATCACTATTAGAGGGGCAGGCTTAGGAAAATTTAGGAAAGTGTGATGCTTATTGAGTTGTTTTATTCTGAAGAAACTACATTTTTCTTAGCACTTTGGGCTGCTTTATAGTACTTGGTGGGAGACTCACAAAGACTATGTAGAAGCTTAGCATGTAACATTCTTTCCTTCGATTCAATAATGGACCACTCCTCCAGCATGATACTTAGGAATACTTTGCTACTGGAGCTGCTACACCCTTCTGATGGAGTCTCTGACCACTTCTGCTTACAAAAGATCCTATGGCACTATTCAAGAGAGTAAGGGTTCTACCCCAGTATCCTAGCTACATTCCAGCTCAGTATCTCAGGGAAATTTAGAGCTGTAAAATATACAGTTTCATTTGAATACATTATTCTTAATTTCCCACTTCTCCTGAAACTTAGATGCTCATGTAGAATAGCTAACACATGTCTACTCAAGAAATAACTCCATTTGCCCGACGCTGAAAGTGATTCCTGCATATGCAATCTTGAAAGCTCTAAGATTCTGCTTGTTATATTTTTAAAAGCTATGAAGTTTTGACAGTCCTCTTGCATTTTATGAATATCTTAACAACACAAAAAGTTAACATAAATGGTCATTTCATGAGGTATGCAGAAAAGCAATTTGGTGCAAATAAAGGAATATAAAAGTTACCGTTTTTTGAGAGTGAAAGCATCGTAGAACAGAGGTAGGTGACTAAGGATCAGCCGTAGCGCAAAAGCTGCATACCACAAATTTTATATTCCAGAACGAAGGTGAATAAAATATTTCTTAGAGTCTACATTGCTTAATCCATATATAGAGCTCACCTTACCTTTTGTGCCAAATTATTGCAATCCTAATCTCCCTTTAGATACCAACACCTGCCTGATCTCACCAAAAAAAAAAAAGTCAGTTTATAATGAATGTGTTAACAGTCCAACTTTTTCACAACCGTTTTCCTCTATATGGATATACCCAAACTAAAAGTAAATGAGGAATTAAGAGTTATGCAAACTCTCCTGCCACTTTAATAAAAATGACTACTTTAAAAAAAGATATTTTTAAACAGCATATTTAACCCCAAACCTGTCAGGTTAGTTGGAAATTATATAAGATTATATTTCTTGTATTTAATTATTGTAGAGTCGCATATAAATTTACCTTCATTGTGGCCTCCAGAGCATATTTTTTATGTTCTCGTTTTGTAATAGCTTTTGATTTTTCCTCTTCATCTGCCTTCTCTTGGGCTTTTATTATAGCATTCTCCCTTATTCTCTGCATTTTCTCTTTGTCACCTGAAAGAAAATCATTTGAGAAATTTAAGACTGAGGTTCATGTGTTATTCATTGTGTACAGGACAAGAGAATTTCTCTCATTATTGTATCTGAGACAGAGTGGCAAAAATGTAACCCACCCAGGTGCACAATACAACCCTCTGTTAATCACATCTTTAAAAGGGACAATATAAACTACACTTAAACACAACTACTATGTTTTATAATAAGGTTCGACAAGACCTATAATCTGTAGAAATGTTTCGTTTTTAATTCTCACAAAGAATAATTTGGTTTGGATTTAAATATTCCTCTACACAGCTTGCTATCCAAACATTGCACAGTACAAGACACAGAAAGCAACTATAACAAAAGTTAAGCTAATTTATTTTCATTGTCAAACATAACTGTAATGCAAAAAGGAAGCAATCAGCAGTAACAGAAAATGATGAAATGAGATAGCTATCTATCTGTATAATCTAAGGTTCCTGGTATTTCAGGGAGAGAAAAAAAAAAAAAAAGAAAACCCAGTAGTTTTCTTCGAACACACCCATATATTCCTCTCCCCCAAAACGATTCATAAACATTATCTTCCCCAAGCGCTGGAAAATATGGACATGCACAGCTGAAGTCACCCAAGCAACCTTTACTTTGCCCCATGCCATTGCCAACATTCCATGTTCCACACAACATATACTTCCACACTTACTATATAAGAGGTAACCTTACAAAAATGAGTTTTGAAAGCTCAGATTTATTTTCCTTAAGTCTGCAGTCATCTGTAGGATATTAGCTTTATACACATCTCAAACATCAAATGTGATCCTTTGCCTTTCCAAAGCTCCATACACTTGACACATAGTCACTTCTGGTCTTAGATTTGTTTGTGTAGCTATGGACTATTTATGGCAATTTTAAATACAATAAACCAGAAATTTCAAACAATACTTATACATTTGGAGGCAAAAGTTTGTTTGGAGATCAGGGCAGAAAATTTGCTGTTATTTATCCCAAAAGCAAGTTTGTATACTGCTGAGGAGTTCAAATGGCTCTTCATAATCCCAAAGTCATTAGTATTTGTGATGAAACTGCACTTTCATTGAAATGTCAGTGAGGAATCACTCTCTAGCATTAAGAATAAATCAATCCAATAAAATGTGTTCTTACATTTGGAAGTAACTTGTGTGTTAGCTACAGCCTCACATTGCTTAAGTTTCTGGTTCTTCTCAAGGGGTTGCTAATGAGGCAGAGTTAAGGTTCTTTGAACTTTGATTTTCTAGGTTAATATTTGCTGTTGTGTGTATGTGTTTCTGCTACTCTGTTCAACTAGAGCTTGAGGTTGGAGAGAGAAGAAATGCATGAGCTTTGTTACAAAGAAAAAAACTACAATGTGCTACTTCATGTACCTATGAATTCTTGCAGGGAAAGGGTTTGGTATGTTTTTGCCTGTCTTTTAAATAGTCCATCTATGTTCCACAGTAGACAACTTACCGTTTTCCATAACCAGGGATTCCCACATGGCCACTTCTTTTTTATATAAAGTGAAGAAAATGGTCTCATTTCTGATCTTTGCTGTACTACTAGTGTCATCAATAGGAGCATACAGAATGGCTTCAAATAAAAATGGAGGAACATTTACCTATAAAATGTAAATAGCAAATAAATATACATGCGTATTTATTTTAAAAGTGTTTCATTAAATAAAATTTTTAATAAGATTGTGGCTAAATAATAAATCCCCAACATATATTTTAAATAGTTAGCAAATGTTTTCTCATAATAAACCAAGAAAATCATAAAAGCTGGTGAGTGAGAGAGACTCCACTAACTAGACTGTAATTTGCAGTAGAAGAGATCATTTACAGTAGCTTAACCATCTCATTAAAATATTAAAATAAAATTAACATTTATAAATGAGTCCAAATTCTAGTATACAGTGTGAAATGCCAAACAACATTGAAAGAATTAGAGCTGCAGTGATAATGCAAATTATTATTTGCTTGCAAATGCTTATAGTATTAACCAATACCAAAAACTAATAATAAGTAATAAAATATACTACTTTGGAACACTAGTTGCAGCTTTACAATTTCCATTACATATACTGTAGTCACAAAAAGTGCAATCATGTGAAAAAAACCACCCAGCAAAGTACAATGAGAAACACGGGACACTGACAAGTACTTTTTAAGAAAAAGATTTAGTTTAATACAAACTAAAAGTGTATGCACAATTTCCCAATAATTATTGCATTGATTACAATGTTGTTGTATTTTTTCTTCTTGTTACAGTAAAGGAAACTTTTCAAAGGCATAAAAGACAGCTTGATGCCCAACTTCCATTAAAAGGCTTCCAGTAGGAGTTAAGTGCCTAACACCCAGTGATTGAAAATCTCTCCAAAGGTGCCAGAATCTGCCCTCGTTTTTTCTTGTGCAAGCCACAGGGTTGCGGAGCTGTAAATGAGTGGGAAATTTGACCAATGGATTACAAATCATTGACGGATGGAGTTTGGCTTAAAATCCTGAGTCTACCCTATATCTGATTTTAAATCAATAATATAAAGAAAAAGTAGGAGATAAAGTATAACCACAGAAAATTGCTTCATGTAGTTAAAGTGTGATAAAGCAGCAGTGGTGGCTAAAGAATATTTCCCCAGTCACCTATCATACGTCAGTTTAACAAGAATACTGTTATATTACGAATCAATATTTAGTTTTTAAATGGTTTACTCCCCGCTAAATTGTAGTTTGTTTGGGGAATACAAAACAAAACAAACAACTCTCTATCACTTTTCCCTTGTCTAATTCATTCATTTATGTACATAATATGCCATATTTGCAGAGGTGAAAGTAAGTTAGAAGACTTACCCATAGGCCAGAGACCTGAGCAGGGGGCGTGGCCTTAACCAGAAGAGGCAGGGCCTTAAATCCCTGGGGCCCTTTAAATCAAGATTTAAAGGGCCAGGCTCCAGCTACAGTAGTGAGCCCAGGGCCCTTTAAATCACCCCCGAGCTACCAGCTGCAGGGGTGGCTGGGAACTCCAGGGCTCAGGGGTGATTTAAAGAGCCCAGGGCTCCAGCTGCCGCTACCGCAGCGGAGCTCGGGGCCCTTTAAATCATTGAGGAGCCCCGGGGCTCCCGGCTGCCACCACTACCCCAGGGCTCTGGGCTCAGGCAGAGCTTTAAAGGTCTTGGGGCTCCGCTGTGGTAGCGGCTGACAGAGCACCAAGCCCTTTAAATCCCTGCCTGAGCCCTGCTGCCCGAGCCCTGGGGTAGCTGCGGCCGGGCTCTGTCAGGGATTTAAAGGGCCCCAAGGCTCCAGCTGCGTTACCGCCCCAGCCCTTTAAATCCACTCTTGAGCCCCGCTGCCGCTACCACAGGGCTTCGGCAGCAGGGCTCCGGCAGAGATTTAAAGGCCCGGGGCGGTCGTGGCGGCTGGAGCTCCGGGGCCCTTTAAATCCCCACCGCAGCCCCATCGCCACTACCCCAGGGCTTTAAATTGCCATCTAGGAAAGCCGGTCCCAGTACGGCGCACCGGCTCTTACTGGTACGCCGTACCGGGGCATACCAGTTTACTTTCACCTGTGCATATTTGTAACATAAATCAACATAGCTCCCAAAGGTTAATTTCTGTATCTGCCAACTAGCATCCACATACACACACGGTGGTCGCAGAACCATGTGTCTGTCCTGAAGAACAACAAAACACTGTGCCTGAGAGACATCTACCACCTTTAAGCAGTAAATCTGAAGGCCTCTCCTTCCTGCTTTAACGAATTGTATTCAACCTTTCCCCTGCAAATCCCTTTCAACTCTCTTAAAGGGTTGCTCGGCTGGTGGCACAGGTTGAAGAGCATCAGTGACAAAACCCTGACTTCTGGCAGGCTTGGTGCCCAGCAGCGATCAGGAATCGTTGCTCGCGTTCACTTTGCTATTGCTGCCATAGTCCAAGCGGCAAAAGGGAGAGTCAGACAGACAGATGAGAGTGGAAGGGACACGGGAGGACGGGTTCCCAGCTTGTGGAGGGGATGGGAAGCGGAAGGGGCGCTGCCTCCTTGCCCAGACCGACCCACGGAGAAGTCGGCGGCGGCTAGGGACTCCCGCAGAGAGGCGAGTGGGGAAGGCGAAAGGAAGACAGTGCAAGGCTCTGCTCAGGCTGGGAGCGGGGGAGAAGAGCAGAAGCCGCCCCACCTTCAGATATTGGTCAGTACAGAAGATGTTTGCCTGGGTGACCCGGACACCCCGCATCGGCAGGGAGAGGAAAACAGCAGTGTCCGTCTGCCGCCAGCTGTAATCGCGCACCCAGACCGGCATGGCCGCCGCTGCTAAGGGCGCCCTGCAGCGGTTACTAGGGGAGGGTTCAGACTTTCCGCTGCCCTCCCCCTAGCACTTCCGGGTTTGGAACCAGGCCTGAGTGGTGCCCCGCTGTTACGTAATACGGGAAGCGAGCAGCGGGGATACAGGCAGGAGGACTTCTGCCCAGCCAGGGCACCGCTGCATGCTGGGACTTTGGGCTATCCCCGCCCCTGGGGGAACGTTGCACGCCGGGATTTGTAGTCTGCAAGGTGTCGCCGGCTGCCCAGGCGAGCCCTTGGCAATGAGGCCCGTGGGCGGGCAGCTAGGGCGTGATGACCGGCGTGGCCAGACGCATCATCCCCGCCTCACCGGAACGCTCTTACAGCCGCCAGGGGAAGGCCTGGTCGGGCACCACCTGTGAAGGGCTCGGGGGCAGAAACTCTTCAGTCTCCCAGGCCTCGGGCCCCCTCCAGCTCCGGGTTGGGGCCCCTCCCCGCGCAGGCCGGCCTGGCCGCTGGCAGACGCGGCCCTTGGGACCGCACCTGTCCGCAAGCCTCCTGTACGCTGTGTCAGGCTGTTCCCAGCAGGCCTCTCGCCCGATGCTGTACGAGACCCCCCCCACACACACACTCCCCAAGCCAGGGGACGGAGCTTCTCTCCCACGCTCTGAAAGGAGCAGATGACAGAGGGCCCGTCGCTTCAGCCTTCTGCGAGGGTCACCAGCTGTCCCGATTTTGTTGGGACTTTGTCTTATATAGTCTCCTATCCCCCCCATCCTGATTTTTCCACACTTGCTGTCTGGTCACCCTACCTCCAGCAGCGACTGGCTGGAGGTGGCGTTTGGGCCCACAGTATTTAAAAAAGTTCAGACCAACCAACGTCATATGGCAGGTGACAGAGCCCCTTAAAGTCCCATCTCGCCTCAGCCAGAGGAACTGCGAAAAGCAGAGGGCCAGATGCTCTGGCTATTTTCAGCTGAGCAAAGCCCACCAGCTGCCACGGAGAGTCCAAGAATAAACCAGTTAAACCTGCCATGTACCGTTTTAGATTCCTGCCCTCCGACCCTGCACAAAATTTAGAGAATCAGGGCCACTATTACGTTGTGTTTTTTTAGTTTTGTGTAGTTTGTAGCTAGGGAATGAACTCGTGTAAATAATTATGGTGTACTAGTTTAAAATTGTGGATTTTCCAGGATTTTTAAACATTTTAACATGAGGCAAACTTCTTTTGGATGCAACTGAGTGATCGCTGTAGCTTTTCAAAACCGATCACGTGTATGAGAAGCTGTTTCCAGAATCAGGACTTAAATTAAGTGAAGCGTGCTCGCATTAACTTTGTGAATCCTGCAATGGGCTCCATGGAGGTGGATCCTCGTGCCTGTAAAGAGCCAGTTGCAAGATTGAGGCCTTAGAAGACCCTTATCCTGCAACTGATTTTGCCTGAGCAGAGTCCTCTTAACTGCATTTGAGCTCTGAGTTGGTGCCTCCACGTACAGTAGAACCTCAGAGTTATGAACACCTCAGGAATGGAGGTTGTTCATAACTCTGAAGTGGTTTTTAAAAGTTTACAACTGAACAATGACTTCATACAGCTTTGAAACTTTACTATGCAGAAGAAAAATGCTGCTTTTAACCATCTGTAAATGAAACAAGCACAGAAAGTTTCCTTTGTCAAAAAAAATTTAAACTTTCCCTTTATATGTTTAACACCGTACTGTACTGTATTTGCTTTTGTCTCTGCTGCTGCCTGATTGCATACTTCCAATTTCAAATGAGGTGTATGGTTGACTGGTCAGCTCATAACTCCGGTGTTTCTACTGTACAAGAAATTGCAAGATAAAAGCCTTAGATTATAAAAAAAGTTTGGGCAGGAGCCCTATTATGTTCTGTAAACAGTTTGTGTTAAATAATGAAAATTTACCTTCCATGGGGCTCAAAGTGTTACTGTGGGGAAAATAAATGCAAGTTTAAGTACTATTTTTAGGTCTTTCCATAATGCTACAGCAAAGGTTAACTGACAAATAAAATCCTACTGCAAATATTGGTTCATTTACTTACCAAGATCTAAGGTCAGGCACACAGTTCTGCTTTTCATCACTCACACTTAAAGCAGCAGAGAAAGGAATGCAGCTCTTGTTATCCAAAGTATGTTTCCATAATAGACTGCTAGTAGTTTTAGAAATTCTGGAAAAAAAACTATTGAAGGCTGCTGATAAATTGAATAGTGATACACTGGAAATTCCAGATGTCATGTAAAAAGTAATTTGGCTGTACTTATCATTCCAGGTATTAGCTTAAATAGTTTGACTATTTGGAGTCACTCTCTTTCATAAATTTAGGAGATAATTTGTGGATTGCTGTTTGACCTAGTCCATCAGACAAACAATAATAGATCTATCTGCCGAAGTTAAGCCTAATATAGGGGAACAATTAAATATATCCTGCTTCTGATCTACATCCCTTGAAAGTCAGGCCAAACACATTAGGGTCAATCTCACACAATACAGATTTTCTACAATTCAAGTAGGTTTTTAGTTGCTCAGAAGTATACAGATCGCTGGAGTTAGTTGCAAAAATCCAAAAGAACCAGGAAGTCTTCCTTGACTTACCTGTTCTAGTGTGACCTAGAGAAATTGAGGTCAACCTTACATACATACATACACACACACACTCCCTCCCTCTCTCTGAAAAAGAACAAAAAAGTTAATTTACTGTTTGTGAAGGATATCAGATTTTGTTTTCTGATAGTCATGTAATTTATATTTTCAAAGGATTGTTCAAAGAATAAGTGGTGTATGAGAGTTAAGTATTGTTATTGATTTTATCCACATATAATCAGGAATTGCAGGGATTCTAAAACTTCTTCAGATCATGAACTACATATTAATAGAGATTTTTCTGTGGATCCTTTCTCTTATTCACCTGTGGCAACATCAGCAGTTGCTTACATGGAAAAGGCAGGGGACTGGGACTGAGATCAAAGTTAAATTTCTGGTTCCATGAATGAAATGTCCAGGGGAAAATCTTCATTGAAAGTCAATAGGACTTACTCTCCAAAGTCACTTTTGAAAAATGGGATTTAGGCACTTGAAAACTTTGCCCCATATAACCTTTAACATGTGACTTGGGCATGAACCTGCAGTAGCGAAATGGAAGTTTTGCCACTGACTTCAGTGGGAGCAGGATTGGACCTTGAATATTTCTGTGCCTCAGTTCCCCATCTTTAAAAAGACAATGAAAATATTTCCAAACCACACAGGAGTGTAGTGAGAAAAAATCATTAATCTGAGGTCTTCAGATGCTACAGAGATAGGTATAAGATAAATAAATCAGCTGATAAGGAAAAGGTGGAAAGATTGTATTTTTAAATTAAGGTAGCTAGCTGGCAGAGTTCCTGTTTAAATGATTATTTTAATGTTACTGGGATTTTTGTTGTACTACTCGTCAGATGCTAGGAACCAGGAGTCTTGATTATTACATTTAAATAAATAAAAATAAAACATACCTATCCAGAGCCAAGCTGTGTTCACTCAAGGTGCATACACCACTTCTTCCATGAGCTTGGAGGGTTCATTCATGGAGGAAATGAGTCCTAAATCTATCCTAAACCCTGGTCTTCTGCTTAGGTTGCTAAGATGTACTTCTGGTTTAAAAAAATTAAATTATGCAGTCAAAATGAAAGTACTACAGACAAACTGCTCATTATTTATTCTTCACCTAAAAAGAACATGCTGTAATTATAGAGCATAGTTTCTAGAAGGACAAATTATAATTATAGTTACATCTACTTCTTTGCTTATACCAATCAGCTCCCTGTGTAACTTAAGAAAAAATACCTAACAAATTCTGATCTGTTTACTTGTGAGCTGGGACTCTTAATTTAAGCAAAAACTAAACAGCATTACTTATACTAGTAACGAAGTAAGTAATATTGATTTTTTTAAATTAAGCTAGGTCTGCTTGTTTGTAGACCCTTTAACAGAGAGAGAGAAAGTGGGCTACGTTTCAGACCTCCTTCATGAACCACACACTGGTACATGTGCATTGACACTGCCTTCCTTTCAGGCATTCCACCTCTCTGGCTTAATTCTGCAGATGATGGAGCTGTTGCTATGACGACTCATAGGAAGTGAAATCTTACAAGACTTGCCATACCGGACCAGACTAGTGGTCCATCTAGTTCAGTGTTCTGTTTCTAATAACGGCATGTGCCAGCTGCTTCAGACAAAAATAAGAAACTGATGTATACAGTCAGGGTATAGAGTATCTAGACGGAAAGTTTATTCCTAATCCTCAACAGTGACCGGTTGGTTTGTGCCCTTAAGTAGGAGGGTTTATATCCTTTCCAAAATTCTTATAGTAAATTATTTTTAAAACAACAACTCTGGATCTTCTAGTTATTAATATAACTGAAAATTTCTGAAAATGTTCTGAAAATTTTTAATTTCTCAGCCTCAACAACATCTTATGGCAACGAGTGCCACAAGTTAACTGTGTGGGGAAAAAATACTGATTTTAAATTTGCTCTCTTTGAATTTCATAGGATGTCTCCTTCTTCCTGCTCTTTTCAGATATCCACCTATGCCTTTCTCACTGAAACTTTTTTCCAGAGAAGCTTTCTATTCTAAGTAATGCTTTCTTGAATAGAATCCAACCCCTTGGCTTTAAACATGGGTCCATAGCACTGGGCTTTTAAACATTATTAAATCATAGACTTACTACGTTTTATGTGCTTTATATAATACAGTGACCAAGCAGGGTGAAAGAGCTATAAATTAAATAACGGTTAGCACGTCACATTTTTAAAGAACTCCACAAACATCTGACCCGATGCAAGCAGGCAATAGGGCCCAGGTTGCAAGAAGCCTTCCAGCCTCTGCTCCAGGACTGCTTTGGGCTCGTGCCCCTACAAGAGAGTAACCTCTCCCAAAGGGGCAAGGATAGGGAGGTTGCTGACTGCAGAGGACATGCTGCACTCTCTAAAGGTTGCCACATTAGCTGAAGCTACTGTGCCAGAGTTCCTTCTCAGAACAGTGAAATTTTACATTGTTCCCTGCCCAAGTTTGGGTCTTAACCAAATTAATCTTCACAATATAACTGCAATGCAAATTAAAATTTGTGCAAGCTGCATTCTCTGTATTAAATCAACAGGCATTTCCCCCTCAAAAATTAGCTTTATTTTGAAAGAAACTGAAGCTGAACACCAGAAATGCAACAATGTTACATATAGCATGTGAGAAAACCTGCCATATACATTTGCTACTAATGCTGGATCTATAATCTAATAAACATGATATACCTACTACTAGACAGAATTATAACATTTTTTGTTTTAAGAATGAAATGTCA